ACCTCTGAGTTCCAAGACATTATTAGTAGGAAATATATATTTCTACATTATACAAAACATTATTATTAACAAATCAAAAGTTTTTCGTGACTCTAGGATAACTCGCGCATTAATAAAAGAAGACCTATTTTCGTGACTCATACCGCGGGTTTAGCTGAATATTCAGCAGTTATTAATATATTAGATACAGTACAATGGCTAGTATAAATATCTATTTTTGAAAATGCATGTAAGACACTTTACCGCCATGTAGTCTTTCATGGTAAGGAAGTTATAATATCAGTTATACTTCCGATTCTTGTGGTTTGTTTACATATTTTACTAGGTCATGATATGAGTTAACCTTCGCTATTCTAAAAATAGATTCTACTTCACCTGTTCTGATTTTTGGACAGGCGATTAGGAAGTACACATTAAACATGTAATTAATAAACCAGCGGATTGTAATGCAATACTTTTAGAAATGCTATACAATTGTAAGAAGCAAACAAGTTGAAAATGGAATTTAGTGTGAAGTTGAAAAGGACAACTAAACACTGTAATGCTTAAGTGACATTTAAATTAAAATAAAAACGATGTGCTCTGGCCTCTACATCTTTACCTTGTAAATAAAAAAAATCTAAGAAATACACTATTAATTGCTGATGATTTTAACCAATTTTTTTTTAATGAGACATATCCAAGAGAAATAAAAATACAAATGACTTATATTTTATTGTCTGTATGCCCACTATGATATAACACGAAGCAATTCTAAATAGCATTCTCAAATGTATAATGTATTATGTTTGAAGTTTATTTGCCTGGATTTATTCTAGAAATATTTCGTTGATAGTTTGAATAGTTGAAGGACACTGATTTACAAGTTTGACCAGAGTTTTTAGGCATACATTTCATTCTGTATTTAAGTGCTTGAAAGTAGAAAATCTGAATTATATCAATTTGGGACACAAAATATATTGCTCTACAAATCTCGAACTTGTATGGAACAAATTTTCTCTGTTATATATTTTGTGTTTTGTTTTTGTTTTGTTTTGTTTTTTTTTTTCTAAAAGAAGCCTTAATGTCTCTCCGGTTGCATGTCCGTCGCATTCAGTGCTGCAGCACTTTGATTATTGTTGCTTTAAAAGGCGTTGTAAACTATATAATCGAGGGTGAAAGCATAACAGCCGTATATACAAGTAGTCCCTAACCAGTGTTTATTGGTAGTTTAACACCGTTTTTTTCCCTTCTTTGTCTATAGTGACAAATTCACGTGAGTGTTAGAATTATACATAAAAGCAAAAGACGACGCATAAAAATGTTATTACACTAGTGTAATAAAGTTTTTATTAAATAGAGGATATTGAATGAGTGTAGGTTTAATACTAAATTTATTGAACGAGTTAAATAAAATCACATTATGCGAGCCCGGGCTTTGGCTTGCCCGGCTATAGACTACACGTGAAAATCAAATAAAAAACAATTAAAAAATATTTAGAATTCTATACCTATCGATGAAATTTTCAGTGTCAGTTCTAGCTAGGCGACACCATTTACAATGTAACTAAACAGCTCTGACTTTCCGCGAATGAATATTTTTTATTTTCTACTTTTGCAATCTGTTTTTTTTTTTGTTTTTTTCAATTTTGTTATTTAAGTCTGATGCTGATTTTTAAAAAAAAAAAATTCAGTGTTCATGTAATTTACTTTTTTGTTCACATTTGTTACAATGTCACGAATGTGTTTTCTATTTTAATTAAAATCTGGGACCAAAAATATATTATTGTTCCAGTTAAAATATACAAACCAGGGTATGAATTTTTTACAACTAACGCAGAGATACTGGTAATATCTTTTTCGAGATTTATATACTATTTGATGCACTCTGGGCCATAGGCCTAACTTGACTGTGTGCAAGATTTCAGATTATTAGCTCACTCCATTTTTCCAGTATAAGTGCAAAATGACCCAAAAATGAGAAGTGGTTAAATGCTTTTAACCCAAATCGGACAAAAATTACACAAAATCGCGGATTTATATAATTATTACATTGTAATTAAAATCCGTGACATCTAAATCAAATCTGAGTATATATATTCATCATATAATTATAAATGAAATATTGAGAAATATTAATGAAATAAAATGCTTATTTTCATTTTCGTATTTTCACTGTAAAAAGTATTTTAGTGAAACATATTTTCCATGTTTTCACTGGTGTCTTGCCGGACTACTTTCTTTTAAATTCTGCCAGTACACAAAATTTAAGGAATAGTCTTCCAAATTGTAATTTAGGATAGAGACAAATGTACATAATAAACAGAAAATTCAAGTTTTTTTTTCTATAAATACATGATTTATTTTCATCTTGTGGCATGAAAATTATCACATTTCACCCGTGACTACCGCCACTCATGAAATATTTATGTCATACCACTTGATGATAATAAATCCTGTATTTACAGAAAAAAGCTTGAATATTCTCTATATATTTTTAACATCTTTTGCATATTTGTCCGTTTTAAATGTCCATGCAGTTTATCTATGTAAGAATGCATTTTTAAGTGTTTAGGGTTTAGGACCTCAGTGGAGCTCCTTTAATTAAATACCTTAACAAACTTATATATTATAAACCGTTTTTAACATTTAGGTCCCAGCTTCTTTCAATATTTCATTTTAATAACACTTCCAATTGTTTCGCGCCTTAATGCTCGACTGTTTCGCACATGTCACGTGATGGTGTGCCAACCATGTTAACTTTTTGGTCCTTCCGAATAATCCAGGCGAGGACCAATAGTTTTATAGCAAATTGAATCGTGTGACTAAAAAGAGATCAGAAAATGTTTTGCTGGCGTCGTTAACGGATTTGTGTAGTAAAGTTTTTTTTGTGAGAATCAATCAGTGGTTAAACACACAAGATTGTCCCCGAGCGCTCAAGTTCATGGTCGAGTGATTTTCCATACACTTTACTGTTAGCTACATTTGCGTGAAGTTTGTGAGAGGGAAATGACGGAAACGAAAGTATGGGAGGTTTGGAATTGTTTCTTTTATTTTAGGACGTCGAAGAACTAAGTATCAATCAAAAATGTAAGTTATTATATATTTTATTAAAACTATATAGCCGAAACGTAATATTATTACACATGAAAATCGGGAAAGCGTTGCTGTTTTTTTTAAGGAAAAAATGTAAATATTTCACAGAAAATCCGGGAAATGTTATTGTATCACATAAAATTTGTAAATTATCAAATATTTTTCGTAGGTACAATTTGTTTGACACAAAGTTAAATTTTCCATGAATAAGGACTTAAATTATAAATTAGCGTTTATCATAAGAATTATACATTATACTTTTAATTTTTCATGTGACGTTTCGATCAAAGTTTGACGTTTCGATCATAGTTAACGGTATTTTTGACCATTATGATCATTATTCATATTTACTTACCACTGTAGCCATCTATACTAAGTTAAAGTGGTAGCAAAGGGCAGATTACTGGTTTCAGCAGTGTAGGAGTTATATATAAATCGTAATGCATAATTACGACAATGTTACTTTATGTTGTGTGTGTTTTTTAACTGTGGCACTATATTATTTATTACTGTAAATAATTAGTTTTTAAAGGATGGTAATTATAATTTTATTTATTTCCTTCTATACTCAAAAGTCACATGTTGAAAACCCCAGATAATACAATAGCTAACATATGATTTTTTAACAAAACATTGTCATAGATAATTGGCTTATGATATAAAACAAAATACAGATATGAATAATTGATAGTTGGCATATGAGGTCTAACAAGGTATTGACACGGATGATTGACGTGTGGTATGTAAAAATGATGGCCATGTTGATGACAATGTTGTTGTTTATGGTAATGTTGATGAAGACGTCCATGGGTGTTACAATGATGATGAAATAACGTTGTTCAAGGTAGTGAGCATCAGGTAAATCTAGTTATTTATAGAAACTAGCTTTTTTAGAAACTAGTTATTTTTAGACAAATGAGTTTTAACTTTTCTTCGTAAGTTTTATCAGTTTCAGAAGATGAAATTTCAAAAGGAAGCAATGAACTTGCAAGTAATCATACTATATCGGGCCATGCTTGTGGAACAAGGACAGCATACATTATTTAACGTAAAAACAGCATATTTATTTAATTCAATTTACATTTGGAAAATTTGACATTATAAGAAATTTGATATACATATATACATGTAAATGGTATTATGTCAGTAACTGAAATTGCGTAGAATTACACAATTTTATTTTAGAAATGAAGATTTTTTTTGGTCAAAAATTGAAAACTATGTTTTATGTTTATGTTTATTGACGATATTTTCTTTGCATTGTTTATATCGATTTTGGTTGTTTTGGTTTCTTTCTCAAATTTTTGGAGTTGGTGTGTGATTGTGGTTATTCGATTTGGGTTCGGTGTTTTAGTTTGTCTCTTTGTGGGAGTTGTTTATGTGTGGTATGGTAGTTTTTCTTTGTCTTTTTTGGAGTTGTTAATGACATTTGTGTGTTATGGTAGTTTTTCTTTGTCGAAATTCAGGCCTTATTTCTGAAGTGGTCGATAAGACAGTTGATTCTTTGCTGATACATTGTGATCGATTTGAAAAAGTTGGATTTTGTTATACTAGTCGAATTATTATTATTCATCATTTCAAATAGTTATATCAATATCATTAGAAATGGGAGACACATTTATAGTTATATTGAATTTTCAGCAGAACCATTCCCAATTTTGTATAAAATATTGATGTTTAATATGAGTTTTGATAATTATATTAATATATAGGTGGAGAATGCGGCAATACATGTATATTAAAAATAACATTGATTCTTTTAGATTTAGAAAGTGCATGAAATTTCTAATAATGATATTTGGGTGTTGAATGCGACATTTTTAACAATTATATATATATATACTGATTATTTTAGATGCAGAATGACCAGTATAATATTATTGTTCTTTGGTTTTTCGTTTGTTTTCAGATGGCGTAAGAAAACATCACTGGATTACGTATTTTGAAAGACAAAACTAGATAATATTGTATATTTCTAAATATTACCACTATATTTTTCAGACTATTGTTCGATTGATGGTAAAATAAATGTTTATTACCTAAAGCAGGAAATGGCGGGAAGAATCCTAGCAGACGACAGTTGTCGCGCAGATGCAATCGTGCACCATATCAGACAGCCCTAATTTAAGTTACAGGCTGACCTAGCTCTATACTGGACTCGCTTTCAGCAGGTTAGGGTTTTGAAAAAAAAATCATAACTTTGTAATGTATGTCTTGTTTACTTTTTGAAAAATGAACTTTCGTGTCAATGTAATAATTATGTTGACATATCATTATTGTCTAATGTTTCATAATGAACCATTTTTAGCCCAACTGTTTGAAAAACTAGTAAGGGCTATTTTAAAATTAGTCACTTAAAATTGGTCGTCTGTTCTTGTAAAACATTTCGTTTTGCATAATTATGTTTTGTGTGTAACTTCCTACCTCAGAATTCATTATGATTGTGTAACGGGGAACATAATCTAAACACATTTAACTTTAAACTAGATATTGATTTATGTAGATCTAATTACATGTATGCCACTTAGTTAACTTGATTTAAAGCAGTCATGTTTTAAATAATAATTTAAGTTTACAATATATTCTTATCAAATGAGCATAATAATGCTGAGTCATTTAAACAAATAACTTATAATCTTAGTTACAATTATTTTTAAAATGCTAAAACATGTAACATTTGTTCGACCATGTTACCAATAGTGTATCCACAGGTAGATGACGACAATAAATTTTAAAGAGTGGAAATTTGCGACTTCCGTGTGTCTGCTACTCGATGTTGTGATCTCAGTTACTTCCCCTGACGTTCAGTGTCGAGGTAATTTGGAAGAAATACAAATTTTAGCTAAACATATAAAACAATACATTTTACAGGTAAGGGTTTGTGAGTAATTTGTGCCCATCTAAACCATAACTCATTTTAAGGGATAATTTCAAAATATGTACTGACTTAATATCGAATACAGTCACAGGCGCTATAGTCACATAATCAAATATTTTACATAATCGGTCTATATATGTATATAAAGATATCTTTATATACATATATAGACCGATTATGTAAAATATTTGATTATGTGACTACAGTAGCGCCTGTGAATACAGTAGTGCAGATCATGAGCAGATGTCGGATATGCCGACTGATTTTGGTCTGCACTGGTCGCAATGATACATGTATATTATGTTGGCACTAGAAGGCTGAGAGTTTATCAACATATTGTACCACACAAAATAATCAGAAAGTACTGATTACATTTCATTAATAATGACAACTTTTAATTTGGTACAATATTTGTATTTTGAAAGCATGTTAATTTCAGATGGAACATGACTTTTTAGCTCGACTATTCGCAGAATAATCGAGCTAATGCAGTCACCCATTTGTCGGCGTCGGCGTCGGCGTCGGCGTCCCTGTGGTTAAGTTTTTGTATGTAAGCTGGTATCTCCATAACTACTGAAGGGAATGGATTGAAACTTCACACACTTGTTCTCTGTGATTATCTAAGATGATTGGCACAAGTCCCATAACTCTGATTTGCTTTTTTACATAATTATGCCCCTTTTTCGACTTAGAAATTCTTGGTTAAGTTTTTGTATGTAAGCTGGTATCTCCATAACTACTGAAGGGAATGGATTGAAACTTCACACACTTGTTCTCTGTGATTATCTAAGATGATTGGCACAAGTCCCATAACTCTGATTTGCTTTTTTTTTATAATTATGCCCCTTTTTCGACTTAGAAATTCTTGGTTAAGTTTTTGTATGTAAGCTGGTATCTCCATAACTACTGAAGGGAATGGATTGAAACTTCACACACTTGTTCTCTGTGATTATCTAAGATGATTGGCACAAGTCCCATAACTCTGATTTGCTTTTTTTCATAATTATGCCCCTTTTTCGACTTAGAAATTCTTGGTTAAGTTTTTGTATGTAAGCTGTTATCTCCATAACTACTGAAGGGAATTGATTGAAACTTCACACACTTGTTCTCTGTGATTATCTAAGATGATTGGCACAAGTCCCATAACTCTGATTTGCTTTTTTACATAATTATGCCCCTTTTTCGACTTAGAAATTCTAGGTTAAGTTTTTGCGTGTAAGCTGGTATCTCCAAAACTACTGAAGGGAATGGATTGAAACTTCACACACTTGTTCTCTGTGATTATCTAAGATAATTGCCACAAGTCCCATAACTCTGATTTGCTTTTTTACATAATTATGCCCCTTTTTCGACTTAGAAATTCTTGGTTAAGTTTTTGCATGTAAGCTGGTATCTCCATAACTACTGAAGGGAATGGATTGAAACTTCACACACTTGTTCTCTGTGATTATCTAAGATGATTGGCACAAGTCCCATAACTCTGATTTGCTTTTTTTCATAATTATGCCCCTTTTTCGACTTAGAAATTCTTGGTTAAGTTTTTGTATGTAAGCTGGTATCTCCATAACTACTGAAGGGAATGGATTGAAACTTCACACACTTGGTCTCTGTGATTATCTAAGATGATTGGTACAAGTCCCATAACTCTGATTTGCTTTTTTTGCATAATTATGCCCCTTTTTCGACTCATGAATTCTTGGTTAAGTTTTTGCATGTAAGCTTGTCTCTCCATAACTACTGAAGGGAATGTATTGAAACTTGAAGAGTTTGTACCTTTTCGGACAATTTTATGTATTCATATAGGTAAGCATTATTATACTCAATGAAACACCCTTGTAACAAATTTTCGAATAGTCGAGCGTTACTGTCCTCCGACAGTTCTTGTTGTAGTTATTGTTGCTTTTCTTGAAAAAAAAATGAACTGAACATAATATGAAGAACTATTCTTTCCGAGATCACTCGCTTCCTTAAAGTATTACAATCTAAATACAAAGATATACATTCAATAACTCACGAATAGGTATAAAATATCGGCACTATATTAGTGATTGTGCCGAAGGAAGGGAGATAATTATGAATGTATTACAAATAAGAGAGATAAAAATATATCTTATTATAAATATACTATACAATTATTTCTAATGCATAATGTGTTTTTTGTAATGAACTGGTTACTTTGTTTGTGGCACTCCGATAACATCTTAATTTTTTTTCAATCTATAAAAAGATAATTTTTTAACCTATATTTCAGTTTCAGGATTTGAAATTATGAAAGAAGGAACGATATGAAATGAGCACCGGCAATCTGATCTTGGCATGTTACATCCTTATCACAGAACTGGAAACCTACTGATTAAGATGAGGTAATAGTAGGTTTTATGAATATATGTATATATTTGTTTCTTAGCCTGCTGAAAGCGAAAGTCATTATTCTTTGCCTCCAGAATAGAGCCAGGCCAGCCTGCACTTTTGTGCAGTTTGACCAGCCTCTTTACCGTTTGCTAACTTCCAATTTTCATTTTCATGTGATAATTAGTTATAATGATTTATAATGGGCTGTTCCTTAAATAAAATGTGAAAAAAGTCCATTTAATAATTTCCGCAGGTTAAAAGGCCAAAATATACAATAATAGCAATTACTGCGTTAGTCACGCAGTAGAAATATGGTAATAAGTACTGCGACTCCGGTCGTAAAAGGCATTTAGCACATACATATTTACTTGAATCTTAAATCTTTTTACTTCTCTTAA